ATCCATTTTATTTCGTGTTAATTCATATTCATCATGAAATTTTTTTAATGATTCAAATGTTTCATCAATTTTTCTTAATGCTTCATCAACTTCACCTTTAAATAATTCCATTGGTTCTAAATTTTCACTTGCTTGTTTCATAACAAGATTACATATTTCTTGTAATAAAACAACTATTCTTGATGCTGTAGCATAATGTTGACAATTATTATAAACTAATTCAATAACATGAAACATTGGTTTAAATAAATGTTTAGCTTCTAAAAAATCAGTTGTTTCTAATGATTCAAAATGACCTGATAATGGTCGTAAATGTGTATCAATATCTTGTGCTTCTTCAAGTGCATGGTGAACATCATTTTGTATTTGTAAAAATGATGGATAATATGAACTATTACTTTTATTAAGTAATTCACCCATTTTTGTTACACGTGGATCATTAAGCTAATGAACAAAAAAAATTTTGTATTAAACAAGAGAAGTTGTTTTTTTTTATTTTACCTGTTCAGAAATTGATTCAAGATGTGAACGTTTTGATTTCCAAAATTCAATTTCAGTTGATGGTAACGGATCAAGACCATCTAATAATGGTTGTGCTGAATCTTTTTTTAATACTTGACGTATTTGATGTGACCATTCAATAACAACAGATTCTACTGCATGAACTAATTTTAAATCGATTACATCACCACTAAAAAAAATATATTATCACTATAGAATTAAAATAATAATCATTTACTTTTTTGTATTTGTTTGTGTTGTATCATTTGTTCGTATATATCCAGTAGGGTTTGTTGTTGTACCATTTGTAGTTGTAGTTGTTGTTGTTGTTGTAGGATTATATTTTGGATAAGGAAGTAAAATTTTTCCTTTCACTAAACTTGTAACTACCTGAAGCTGTGATTGAAGATCAGAAACATGTTTTTGTAAATCAGTTGAAACAACATCAGGCCATTCTTCATGGTTTTGTGGTGTTGTTAATAATGGTCGAATAACCTAAGAGAATTTTTACTTAATTAAAAAAAACATACCTCAAAAAAAATTTCTTTTCAATACATACATCATTAACATAAATTTGTAATTGTTCAAGTGCTGCATTTGATAAATCACCGAAATTTAACGCTGATGCAACTTTTTCTTTTGAATCACGTTGTAATGGTTCAGGTAGTTTTTTAGCAAAAAAACATGCTTTACTTTTGAGCGATGTTGGAAATGAAGTGCTCACAACCTAATTAACAATATGTGTGCATTTAATAATTATAATTACATAGAAAAAAACTTACAAGATTTCCAGCAGGATTAACATGAAAGACGATTAGAGTTGGTTGAGCTTTGTCACAAAAATCGATTATTGTTCGATTTTGATCTTCAATTTGGATCATTTTTGTCCATTTATCCGATCGAAGACGTAATGATTTGATAAGATAATCAGCCATAAAATAGACGCGTAAATCAGCTATGTCGAGTTCGTCGGCCATAATGCTGATTTATAAACTTTAATCTGAAAAGAAACTGAAATAGAAAAAAAAGTACTTCGACTTTTATTTTATTTAAAACTCAAGTAGTGACAAGCACCTGCCAAGAAAAGCTTCTCGTACAGTAAATAACTGGGAACAATTCAAGAATAGTTTTATGTAAACGATGAATGACATTGGCGTTGTCGTCACCATCACAGTTAAAAAAAAGAAATTGATTAATAACTCTGAAACATTTCTTCTTCTTCTACTTCTTCTTTTTCTTCTCTCTTTTACCTGCCTATCCACCGTTATCAAACGCTCTCCGCTCGCTTCTTTTGTTGTCTGAAAATGCAAACCGAACACATACACACATACACACATATACACTTACATAGAAGAGTTGCTTGGTAACTCTTTCTTTTTCTCCCTCTCTCTCTCTTTAGAATTACAATCTTCATTTAATTCTTCTTTTACTAACTCATTACTAATGTTGATTTTAAACTTCTGTGTTAAAAGTCAATAAATCATTTGTTGATATTTTTATAACGAGAAGAAATAACTTTCTTATTTTAAAGTACATGAATAATTATCAAAGTCATTTTTTTTTGTTGTTCCCTATAAAGTGTGCAAATCTTTCTTGTTTTATTAATGCATAAAATATTAATACAATAATGTCGATCACTTCATATTTAATTGACATAGTATGCTCTTGAAAAAGTAGATCGGAAATGATTTAAATGGATCTCTTTCGCATTCAAATTCTGTTTCATATATATAGGAAAGTCGAGAAAGAATAAAATACAATAGAATTGAAAAACAAATATGAGCACTTGACGACGGCAATCTAATAGAAACAGAATCAACAGTGAGTTATTTTTGATGATGACAACTAAAGTATAATAATAATAAAAAAGAAATCTAGTTCAAGTACTGATTATTAGTGACATCTTTGGTTAAAAATGCAAAACTTCTTTTTTTATTAATTAATTTAAATGAACAGAAAAGAAAAGAAAGAAATTAATTTAGAATAAATATATAAAAATATATTTTTTTAACTATTTAGAAATTTATCGCTAGAATCAATTTTAAAAATGTTGACGTTCGAATTTGTGTGTGACACTTTATGTTTTTCTTCCTATTTATTAGTTTCTATATAAATGAGTTTTTTTTTTATTTTTTCATATAAATTTATTGATTTTGAAAAAAAATTGTTTTTTTGCTTAAATGATTAGTTTTGGTACCCGAGAGGTTGACTTCTAACGGCGAGTATTTAAATGCTCATTTATTCTGTTGACTCGTCGAGACATTAAAAAAATGTTTTGTTCTGTTTGATTAGAAAAACACTTGGATTGGATAGAATCTATTAAAATAAGTCGACAGAAGGAGATAGACATATGTTGATAAATATACCGGATGATTATCTTATCATAAAACTATTTAACTTAGAAAAATAAATTTCATTCTTTCATTTGTGATTCTATTCGAGTAAAATTAAGTAGTATGGATATTTTAAATACTAATTGGATTTATATAAGAAGAGACATTATATAGTTAGGATTTATTTTATCTTTTCTTTAGATTTTTTTGTTTTATTCTATTTATTAATAAAACATATTGTATAATTAAACTTAAATTAAATTATTTTCCTCTAGTTGATTTATAACATATACATTTCAATACAGACGAGCAAGTCATCATGTTCTGGGAATGTCATATATTAACATCATCGATTGACAAATTACTTGATCAACCAGTTGATCAAATAAAATTACAAGATTTTCTTGATGAAAATGATTTAATTCAAGAATGTCTAAATCAAAATAAACGTCTACTTGATTATCTTGTTCAAGCAAATATTATGCAAGAACTTATTCATCATGTAATTACATTACCAAAAGATGATAATTTTCGTAATGCAAATGTAGTTAGTGAATTATTATCCGGAGATTTTCAACGTATACAAGATACTTTATTAGAAAAAGTTAATTTGGATTTATTATATTCATTTTTATTATCACAAAATAATGAAATACTTAATCCAATATTAGCTTCATATTTTTCACGTATAATTAATACATTAATTATTCGTAAACCAAATGAAATAATAAATTATTTTAAAACACGAGAAACATTTAAAGATGATTTTCTACATAATCTAGATGCAACATCAATTACAGATATATTATATCGTTTAATATCTGATTCAGGTGATCAACGTTCAGATACAATTAAATGGTATGAAGATATTAATTTAATTGATGGTCTTATTCAACAACTTTTAATAACTGAATCAAAATCTGTTCAAATCAATATTGCTAGTTTATTGAGTGAATTTTTACGTTTAGCATTTGATCAACAAACTGGAATTGATTGTGATACGGCTGGTACATCATTAACAGCAACAATAGAACGATTACTTCATGGTCGAAATGATAATCATGAAGGTTTGTATTACAAATTATATCGAAAGAAAATATTTTAACTGGTATAATGTTAATTGAAAATCATATTGGAATATTTTCAAATGAATTAGTTATATTATTATGTTTATTATTTTAGGAACAACACTATTAAGTCATCTTTCATCTATTAGTAATGATGAAAAACAAGCTTTGAATGCTGAATCAGAAGAAAAATTAACACCGGTTGTTCTTGCTCAACATATTCTATCAAAATCTAATCTTGAACAAATATTCGATGCATTAATCAAACGTCCAACACTTGTTATAATGGGATGTGATTTTCTTGAAAGTATTCTTGATCTTCTTAGTCGACAAATGCCTGTACCAGTATGTATACCAATAGTATCAAAAGATAATAATTCTTCTTCATCAAATAACGAAGAACCAATGCAGGTAAAAACAAAACTATTTTTTTTTTGATCTTCAAATAACAACTGGATATTTATTTATTCAAGGTTAATGATGAAGAGGATTCTGTATCGGTGAGTAAATCTAATGAGAATGAAAATGCCTTAATAAAACTTGCCAAAGATCCTCTTATTCGTATTTATTTAACATTACTTGAAATAATTCCTTCTCGTTTACCATCATTAATTGCCTTACTTTCAACACCATGTCCACCATTAATTCCATTATCAGATGATAAACCGCAAAAAGAAGAAAATCAATTTATTAATGAACCTCTTGGTTAGTCTTTTCATTGATTTATTATGTGTATATATATATATATTTTGTTTTATAGGACCTATGCGTCTTAATTTAATAAAATTCTTTTCAAAATTAATCTATACAATTTCGAATGATTATACCGGTGATAATATTTATCAAATATTAAATTCCAATCATTTATTTCAAATATTAATTGATCTTTTTCTTCGACATGTTTACAATAACTTTTTACATACACAAGTTTACCTTATTATTCGTCTTATTATTCATATAAATTCAACTGCTGTTAAACAATCAAATGATATTTGGACGCGTACATCGCTTCCGAATCAAGAACAAATTTCCAATTCATCATCATCAT